ACCAAATGTCTATTTTGATTGAAGTCCATTATTAACTCAAGCCATCTGTAAAAAGTATCTCTCCATAACATGCAATTTCTTCTTCTTCCTACTACCTTTTATTTGTGAGACAATGTACCAAGGCATTACCATGTTTCCTTTAATATAAAGATAATTAAGGAGGAAATCTTCCAAAAACATCTCCATCCATCCCACTCCCTTTTTTAAAAAATGAAGTGAATTACAAGCTGAAGTCTTAGTCCACTACAGAGTTCTAGTCATCTCAATGTAAATATCCTTGTATTCAAAATAGAATTTTAATCGAATAAGTCATTTTTATGGGGGGGTGGATTCGGGGAGGGGAAGAGATAACTAGTAATTAAAGTCATCTTAATGTAATTTGCGGTGAGGATGCTCATACCACATTTAAACCTGAATAATGTTTCTGCTTAAAGCCCACTGCTATGTGTGTGTGTTTGTAGATTCCCTAAAGGAGGAATTGTTTTTAAAAAAAAACCCAAGTTCATATTCTCCTTGATATCAGACTTAAATTCAGCAACCCCCCCACCCTAAGTTGTGAGATCTCCCATTTTTATACAATGAAAAACAAGCCCTTTTTTTGTCTGGAAGCCTTAGACATCAGGGTGTGTGCTGTAAGTGAGGCCACTGACAGAGACAGATCTGCCCAAGTGGTGGAAAGGCTCGCTCCCAACAGAAGGCACTGCGTAGAAGAGCTTGTGGGGCAGCGGGAGAGGAGGCAAGCAAGTGTGGAGACCAGGGTCTTCTCCCAGATAGGATTATGGGAGGCACACAGACAGTAGTCTGTCCCTAGTAATAATTCTTTAGGACCCTGGTCAGTTCCTGTGAAGTTTCCTTCTTGAGCTTAGGTGAACACATTCTTAGTTTTTTTAGCACTGTGATATCCGAGGTACACACCAGATTCCTCTGTCTCATGTGTTTGCTCCAGGGATAGACTGTTGTTGGCTAAGGTTCACATCTGGATCTTTCTGGGGCAAGAGGGAGAATAGGACTTGGTCTTCCACTTCCCATTAAAAACAACCTTGGTTCCTGTTCCCCTTCCACACTTACCTAGCCGAGTGCTGTAATCTTAGAATTGCAGCTCGTATGTCCTCTTTGAATAATGTCTCAGACATGGGTTTGAGATGAAGGTACTTATCCTGTACTAAAGTGCTGGGCTGGGAATGGATAGTGATGGTATTTAAGCTATACAATTCCTTCCAACCTTGAAATTCTATTATTTTGTGTCTCTGTGTATCCACTTGTGTGAGTTTATGTGTTCCCGATAGCTCTGTATATAATGGAACTTAAATAATAGGGTTCTGTCCCACTTGTAAAGATAATCTAATATTGGTTGTTTTTTTTTTTTTTTTAATTACAAAATGCTCACCACAATAAGTGTAGGTTCTTACATTTGTTTGGGGCTTGAGGATTTTCAGACTTCTCTTCCACCACAGACCCTCCTCTTTTTAATTGTTCTCCTGTCTTGCTTGCTTAATTGCATTTGTAAGGTTATAGATGGCAAGTACTGTACTATAGCTTCCTCGGTGACTTGCTTATAGTTGTTCTCAAATAGGTGCTGGATGGTTATGTCTTCTGCAAATTCTTTTGTAGAAATAAGATTCCAGTTGATTTCTTTTTGGCCATAAGAAAATTTTGTGTGTTTTCTTAGTGTAAGATTGATAGATGAGAACCAAGAGGCCCACTGGTTTAAAAAAAGAGCAATTTGGAAGAAAAAAAAACCCAACCTCAATGTAATGCTACTTGTTGGTAATCAGGCTCTGACTCCCAAGACACTGTCTGCAAGAGACTATAATTTAAAACAAAGTTGATGAACCAGTTGAGTACCTTTCTTTAAATCACTGCTTTAAAGTGGATATGTTGAAAATATCAACTGCTAATTATTGGCTCACCAACAAATGACATTATTTGTTTTTCCTGTTTGTCATTTTAATATTATGGAATAATCACTCGAATGTGAATGCCAAATGATTTGCGTGTCATAGGAGTCAATTCCATGAATTTTTCAAATTAATTAGGTTCAATAATGCATCGTAAATAATGAGTCTCTGCATAAGTAAGTCAACTTAAGCTTTAGTACGCAGTTTTATCTCAAGACTGCTCTGAGCTACTCCTGTCCCCAGTAGCTTTACTGCCAACAAATACCAGTAACGATGAATTGTATTGAAAGGGCACATAGATGTAAATGAAGGCAGAGGAGGAGGATGAGATGAACATCTGCTTTTTTCAGCTCTCTGCCAGAAATTCATAAAGTACCAAAAATAACACTTTAGCTCACAACCTCGTTTCAACTTGTGTTAGGTGTAGGAAATTTTCTTTCTTTTCTTTTCCTTCTTTCTTTTTTTTTCTTTCTTTCCTTCCTTCCTTCCTTCCTTTTTTTTTTTTCCTGTCTTTCCAGTCTGGGTATGCTCCAGTGGCTTGTATATTGAATACTAAATTGTTAAAAAAAAATAATTGGCTGATAAGAAATGTACATAAGAAAGATTAGGCTGTTACAACCATGGAGATGTGCTTATTCCATATCCATTTAAACAGGTTTTAAGTTCTTGATGAGATTTATTGACATATCAATGTATATCACAACCAAAATCTGAGATTCCACTGTACACATTGACTGATACATATATTTGTACCTACCACGGCAGGTACACAATTACTCAGGAGCCATCCGGCTTAGTAAACCTGGAAGTAAATATCTCTTTTACCTCCCCTCTTAGTCCATTTCAGTAAGGTATTCAATAAGTAATTTGTAGGCGGTTTTGGACAAAAAAAAAAAAAAAAATGGGAAAGTGAATAAAAAGCAACACAAAACTAACTGGGAAATGATGCAGAGGACTACTTACAGAGGAGTTCTTTTGAATAGTGATGAATTGCTTCCTGATTCCTGGTTGGTGATTTTTTTTCACTCCCTTAAAGAAATTTACGATCAAGGAGGAACTGGCATAGTTAACATGTTTCTTTAGCAAGGCCCTAGTGTGATACATCCAGTCTGAGAAGGTCATTTCCTCAGATCTTAGAACCCACAGCTCTCCTCAGTATAAATTCCATTTCAAAGGACAACTTTTGACCACTGTTGAATAGAAGATGGTAGGGCAGAACAAAGTTACTTGAAAGATCTTTCTTCTATTAAAGAGAACTTACAAGCTATGAAAAAAAAAAAAAAAAACCTCATCTGGAATGAAAAAAAATATAGTGTGTTTTGCTTCTGGTTCCTTAGGTCTTTGTGGAACAACCAAAGAGCACTATTTTGGTTTTTGAGGTTAAAACTATTTTATTCCCCTCAAGCATGCTATGTTTATGGTTTGATGGAGAAGGAGAAACAAGAAACTAGGAGCAGGCTAAAATAGTTTAATCTTGACCGTCTAATTCTGCAGTATCTGATTCTAAAATCAGATAAAACAGAATGGTTACCCTCTCTGTTCTTCTAGTATGAAAAGTAATAATAAAAATGAAAAAGTCACCAGAGAATAATCCTTTAGACTCTTTTAATGCTTGGTTGGGTATTTGCTTATGATCTGGGAGCTTAAAAGATGGTTTCCCCCTAAGATGAACTTTGTTGTTAAAATTATGTTGGCACCATTGGTATCTGCTCTCCGTATCATAGTTTTGTCATTGTTGATTGTATTACCACTTGACAACTTGATTCAATAAAATCATCGGTTAATATTTTACAGTTGAAGTAATTATTTCATGTTTTATCTCCTTTAGGTTATTGGAGTGGTGAGTAAAGAATACATACCAAAGGGAACACGTTTTGGACCTCTAATAGGTGAAATCTACACCAATGATACTGTTCCCAAGAACGCCAACAGGAAATATTTCTGGCGGGTAAGTAGGGAAAAATTTTTCAGACTCCTTAAGAATTAAGGAAAAAAATGGAGCCACAATTGCTGGGTCACTTCCTTTTTCAACCTGTACTGGGGCTTACCACAACTCTTCAGGGCCCCTGTGGATACAGGGAGTTGTAAGCAAGTGTGATTGAAACTGGTTAATCGTTTGGCTCTAGAAATACAGCCTGTAGGTGATTAGGGATGGAGATATGGACTGTATGTGAATCTTAATTTTTGCAATTCATTAGAGCTTTGTGATGAAAGGAAACAGTTTGCTGCTTGCTTCAAGGGTAGGTTCATTTGCATTTCTCTGCAAGGAAGTAGTAATGAGTCACCAAGCCTTAGATTTCACCCCTTCTTGATTTCTTGCTGAGTTAACTTTAATTGAATGGAAGAGTAATCGTAAATGAATTAGCGTGAAAATAAATGCCGTTAAGGAAGGATGGGTAGAAGATGACACTGGGGGAATGGAGATGACTGGGACTGGTCTTACGTCTGCATCATAAAACTGTCGGCTTTGACAGTTTGTACTTTACTCCCATAGCATAAGGGAAGTGCTTACAATCGTGAGAGCATAAAAGTCTGACCCATACAATTTCCTTTGGAATATTAAGATTAGGAAGGGCCGCAAAGATGAACTACTTAGACGGAACTTTTGAGTAAAAGACCCCGAATTAGAAGGGAACAGAGACAAAAATTAGACTGCTTTCCATCTTCCCACAGATCTCTCTGGGATATTCACTTTTCTCAATTAGGAAATAAGGACATGCTTACTAAATTTAAAAGTAATTTTTTTATACATACTTGCATAAAATGTACATGACTACCGGGGAACCATTATTTGAATTCTTTTAAGAAACAGCTGCATGGTAACAACAAAAACTGGATTATACTTATTTTCGCCAGTTTTTACCCACCATGCTTATATCTTTTGGAGAAGTATCTTTATAAAAGACTTCTATTTGGGGATCATTCAGAAGCTGTTCCATAGAAACAGGATTTTTTTTTTTTAATCCAGGGAGTTTTGTGTTTTTAGAACTTTATTTTACTATTTTCCAATCAAGAGAGTGCACTAAAAATTGTTCACTAAGAATTGTGGGCTCACAATTTTTATTTAATAATTACACATACTTAAGATATATTTACTTTGTGACTTATAATGGGCAAAATGTTAGTAAGGGCATTTTTGCCTTTATTGCCAATAAAGTCTTCTCAGAAGTGAGCCACAGAAGTGTGTCATTCTTGGCGTCAAAAGTCTGAATTAACACGATCCAGCATGAGACTTATTAATGCATGCTCATTTTTTAAAAAGGCAAGAAATACTTAAGAACCTCCTATCTCTGTCCCAGTTCCCTGGTTCATTAAAGATTCACCCCAAGTAACTGAAATGCTTTCCTTGGGAGGATTTATTTGAATCAGTCTTTCACATACAAAGGATATTGTAGGAGAAAACTCCCCACATGTTGTTAAAAGCATCCTGATTTTGCTGGCAGGAATATGAACATCTGTTGTAAGGAAAGAAAAAGTTTCATGCAAATTACACAGTCAAAGAAGAGTAGGGATGTTCAAGTTGAGAAACCAGTGACATTTCTTGTAACTGTACTATGAGTCAGCACATTTTTTAATCTTCCTGATAATATATGGCAGTGTAGCGAGGTGAGAAGGAGCAGTGTTCATTTGACGTACGCATTATTTTATTTTCGCGTGTGTGTGTACAAATGACTTCATGGCACAGACGTTTCTGTTTTTAAATGAGCGTACAGTAAATTGTAGTCCATGGAAGGCTGACTGGAATCCCACACCCTTAGCTTTAGAAAGCAGTCTCCGCCCAGCGAAGAGTGCAGAACGATGGAACCCCATGTTCCTGGAAGTTTGCACATCAGAGTAAACAAACTTGAAAACCCCTCTTGATAGCAGAATTCACCCAGCCTTGTTCCATTTTCTCTTAACAAAACACACCGCAAAAGCTCTCACAAGCTGCTTTGATGAAGCCACATGTATTTCCCCCTCCACAATTTACAGGAAGTTACTCTTAAAAGAAAGTGATTCTGGTGTTTACTGCCCGTGTTAAAGGGACAGAGTTCCTTTTTGTTTCTGATACGTGTGAGTGAAATACAGACACGATTTATAGACAATCATAGTCAGTATGTGACTAGGAACAAAGCCATAACCTCCTGTCCGGTTAGAGCAAAATTTCTGCTATGACCAGTGCCTTCCTACTTGAAGACTACGAGTTGCAGATAACCAGGTATTGATTATAGAGGGATAAAGAAATTTCTTAAGTCTGAAGAAAAAGTGGTACACCTTAAAAAGAGGGAGAGAGAGAAACTTTCTGTGGAAGGATGAGGAGTGTTATAAAGTAATTTCAGCAAGAATGTTTTAATTTTTCCTATTCTTACCTCTGCCTTTTTACGGACATAGCCTGAGCGCATCTGTTAACCAGAAGTAGTATTACCGTGAGGATTATGCGTTGCCTTTAAAGAAGAGCACAGTTTCTTCCTGTTCTTTTTCGAAAAACACATGCCTATGGCTCTGTCAGTTGGTGTTTTAGCCAACCACCTTACAGATAAGAGGGTTCCCTCTCCCCTCCTTCGGCTTGAAAAGAGAAGTGCAAGGCTGAACATGTTTATCAAGAGGAAAAGTGACTTCTTAGTCGACTGTCAAATCCTGGCTTCTGTCCCGGTATTCACTTTGTTATGGCAGGTGAAGTTCACCTTTGCCCCACCCAGTGTTTCCACAAAAAGGCAGGGTTCCAAGTATTCATATGAACAAGTGTTACTTCTGGACTTGGAGGCTTGGGGGTGGAGGATGTTTGCATAGTTTAAGCCTTGGGCGGGGGTGTAGGAAACGGCAAGTACAGAGGCCATAGAAAAAGTTGAGACTCAGTTTGACGTATTCGGTTGGCTTGGTCTTCTACCCAGTGACTCAAAGCATTCAAAGTCAGCATAATCGGAACTAAAGTTAGTAGCTTCGCCCATTTGCCGTTCACGGCTGTAGCAAAAGTAATACTCTCTGGTGGTTTGATCCGTCCGAGGCAGCTCCTTAAATGAAATGTGGTGTTTCATTCTTCTGTCATTTTCCCCCAAACACGAAAAGATGATAAAACTGAAATGGAAAAGGTAACTGACAAAGTGTGCCTTACCTGTTTCCGTCCTGATTTTCTGCTGATTCAAGACTACTCTGGCTAAACCGATTTCTTTCTTTTTCTAAGTGGGCAACAGGGAATGAGAAATTACACACGGTCCTTGCCGTGTTTATTTTTAGAGGTGCCGGGGTAGCTTTCCATTGCTTTGGGGCTGACTTTCTTTTACACGTCTGTCTTTTCATTTGGACAGATCTATTCCAGAGGGGAGCTTCTCCACTTCATCGATGGCTTTAATGAGGAGAAAAGCAACTGGATGCGCTATGTGAATCCGGCGCACTCTGCCCGGGAGCAAAACCTGGCTGCGTGTCAGAACGGGATGAACATCTACTTCTACACCATTAAGCCCATCCCTGACAACCAGGAGCTTCTTGTGTGGTATTGTCGGGACTTTGCAGAGAGGCTTCACTACCCTTATCCTGGAGAGCTGACAATGATGAATCTCAGTAAGTGGATTATAGAACAAAATAAATAAATCAATAAAAAATGCCAGTAATGTCAGTTCTGCCCCTAAGAGCTAATAACATGTTGTTTAATTATATGGCTTCATTTGTTGGGCCAAGGAGGTGACTTTAAACAAGGGACGAGGAAAAGGGAAAAAAAATTATTTTAGTCCCTGTTGCCCATTATGAAACTTGATCAGGTAAAATATTAAAAGCTATTTTGAATGTTTAATTCAGAAAGTTACTGGAAGAAATATATGTCCAATTCTAATCTTTCCAAAAGGGGGCAAGTAGGGAGTATAAAAGGGATTGGTCCTGACATGCCTAGTATGCAAGGTATAGCCCTTGTTTGTGGTGATTTGTTGGTGCTTAAATGTGTGTTGGAATATTGTGGAGATGCACATTTGGTTGTCAACATATGGTCTGATGTGGAACTTATCAGATTGTTTTTAGAAAAACTCACAGCTGTAATTTTTAAAATATTATTTTAAGTGGATAACTAAAGATTTTATATCCTAGCTTCCTTAAGGCAAAAACCTAATTATCTAACTTCCTGATCACTATTACAGTAGCTATGTATCACTTTATTTTAACAAATTCTCAGTTCCTTAAATAGCTTATACTTTTTTATTTGGTTGAAGTTATTGTCATAACCCCTCTGCAAAGGGCTACCTCATTTTAGTCATTCTCAAGTGATCTCTAGGAACAATTTAAGAATGAACATAAAACTCCAATCTGTTGTAATTATGGTTGTGTGTTCTCAGACTACTACGTTTTAAGGAAGTTTTTAACATTAGATCCTTGTGGTGTAAAGGTCTTGGCGTCTAAATTCTGAAATTTTTGTAACTTTTTGTTTTGATATGATTTAAACTTAAGGAAGAGTTGCAAAAATAGTACAAAGAATTCCCAGATACCTTTTACCCAGATTTACCAATTGTTGATAATGCAGTCCTCTTTGCTTTATCTGAAGGCTCAACTGTTTTAGTTCACATTTCCACCTTTGAAGCATTTGGAATGAATGTTAATTTTAACATAAATTAGAATTTTGACTTCAACTTTAGGACCAATTAACAAACCCATTACCTGTCCTGGTCAGGATAAGCCAAGTCTGTAGCTAGTTGGTGCTTATCCCACACTGTCTAGTTTACTTGATCTCCCTACGATCTCAATACTATATTTGCAGTTTTCTGAAAAGCTGGGACTATAAAAGCTTATGAATCTCCCTCTCAGGATCACCTTTCAAGTTTGCGTTCGTGGTCCTCTCTCTCTCACACACACACACACAGGCTCTTAGTGCCCCCTTGAGCTTTAGGAAGAGGTCTTGGAATAATTGGAAACAAGCTGGCTTCCAACATGAGCATGAGGGGTGAATCAGGTCCTGACCAAAGGTGTCAGTTCTTTTCCCTCCTATCTCTTCTGCGCTCCCAAGAGTCTGTGGTATGCGCTGAGCATCCCAGGAGCCCTCCAGCTGTTTTGGCATCTGCACGTGCCAGGCCCACCGCGCAGGGCCGAGTAGTAAAAAACAGCTTATATTCTAGCAGAGCCTCTCACAGGAAGATGTGCTGCTTCCTCTTGACTTTCTCAGCATGGCAAGGTCTCCTTACATTCCTTGAGCTTCATCATTCATGGATTCAAAGACCTTGGTTGTTTTGTTTTTTTGTTTTTTTTTTCCAAACAGTAACTCCATTTGGAGTGACCCACCCCAGTGACTTTGCACCAACCACGAAGAAGCTTTTTCACCTACATCCTTCACCTGGTGTAGTTTCAAAGGCCCTACATTTTTATTCCCCGAAGGCTTTGCACAATATTTAAGAGTCAAGTGCTTATTCTCTGTGTTCAGAGCAACTTCCATGTATACTGTGAAATGACACTTTTGTTCCCACAAATGTCCCTTTTTATTTATGCAGAATTTTTTCTAAATGGTGGCTTAACATTTTCAGGGACCCTTTCCTTCTCCAGTGTTCATAGTAAAGAAGGAGAGTGAACAAATAACCAGTCACATTAAGCCAAGACTCCTGCTGCCGATTGTGAAACCAGTTGTCTTAGGTGTGGTAACTGATGATTGAGCCTCTGATCAGGAAAATTTCCACTCTTTCATCAAGCCTAATAGGTAGATTGTGTCTTCAAATGAGTTGTGTTGGGTTTCCATGCTTTGAGCACAACAGAGGTTTGTGCCAGAATCTCCGTGAGGACGTTAAACGGCAGTGATGGTTCAACTGGTAGAATTTTGAGAAGAGATTCGAATTAAACCGAGGTTAAAAAATAATAAGTAGCCAGAAATCACAAATTGGCGTTTTTTTAAGAAACAAAAGAAAGGGAGTAGAAACTATTAAATTTAACTCTTACCCCTCCCAGGTTTTTGGTATTTTTTTCCTATGTATCTAACCAACCCATCTAGAAAACAGTTGACCAAATTATAGACTTCTTAATGTTAATCTGCTTTCTCAGTTTCAGTTGAAAACAGACTTTGTTTTGCCTACTGCAGAACTTCTAGGTTCTTTCTTGTAGTCTTGGGGGTTCTTATTATAGATCGAAAATGTGAGTCGGCATAATTAAGCCATTCAGAGCCTTCAGAAGCAGTTCACTCTTGAAATGACTCCGTCCGCCTACAGCCATTTAAGATTTAAGAACAAAAACAGATCTTGATTTTCTTCTTCATGTTAACTCAAGCTGCTGCTGAGTGGGAGAGTCAGAAATGACACCAGCTCTACTGATTACTCAGCTGCTGAAGGATGATTTTTTAAAATGTACCTTCACATAGATTCCATGACTTCCACCTTTGAACATCTTAGGGAGCTAACGTTTCCCTCTGGATATTGTTTTGGAGGAAGATAGAAATTTATTTCTATGGAGGCATAAGAGATACCAAACGTTGATTGTGGATTTACTATATGCTGGGCCCTGTGCTAAGTCTTTTGCATGGAAAATTATAGATTCAGACTTTCCTGTTTATTGGCCCAGTCATTAGCTTTGTTTTCAGTTTAATAACCGAATTATTAAGGTACCTAGTGAGAACACCTGACTAAACAGGAGGGACAGTGCTACTGATGGACGTGCACTTCTTGTTTACGGGCTTACTCGGTTGAACTTTAGAACCAAGAGAGTATTGAAGCCACTGGAAAAATTCTGAGACTGAGGTGTAATTGGCCACATGAAAATGGTGAAGTTTCTGTACGTTTTATGAGGGTGCCATCTTTTTTTTTAAATGTGGGCCTACACGGGTGCCTCCAGATTGTTCTTTTTCACCTCCATAAAATTCCTTCCTGTGGCTGTGAGATGCCTCGCCTATCAGTTTCCCAACTTAGTTGTCTCTCTTCCTTTACCGTTTCAGCTTTAAAAAACAAAAGTGACAATTTGAACTTCCTGCCTGCTGGGCCTCACTGAAAGACTGATATTGGCCCGATAAGGGCTTATTTATTTTGGTTTAGTGGCTTCAGAAATCCCTCTCCCTCAACAAGCTTTCCATCACTGCCCCCATCAGCATCTTCCCTGATAGTGTCTTGGCTGTGTTTATTCTGGGGCTGCTGGCTCACCCGGGAGTAACTGATAACAGCTAGCAGGAGATAACATTCTCCGAGGGCCTCTCAAACTGGAATCGAATCCCTCAAGCCTGTCAGTCCAGAGAATGGATTTGAAGGGTTCAGAATCTGGACTTCCACAGAGTTCATTTCTAGACCTATCAGGTATCAAGCCTGGAGTGCTTTCTCAGTGAAATCAAATGGAAACTTTTTTTTTTGTTGCGATGACAAATGATACTTTTACAGAGGCTTCAGCATGGTCCCACAAACCTGTCCCCTTCCGATGCGGAGGCCAAGAGCTCCCCTGCCTCCCAAGGCATCCGCACACATGGCTGGCTCATGCCTTCAACCTACTCCTCCTTGTGGGGCAGCTGTTCAGTTGGAATGATTGCCCTCTGATCACCAGAGCTCCAGCGAAGCAGCGTTATGTTTTACTTTTGATTTCCAGGGAAGGCTGAGCGGGGACTTTTTGGTGTTCCCTGCTCTGACTGATGTTTTCAAGGCGTCGTTTGTTCCATGTGTTTGGAGGGGCAGGGCTGCTGATGGCCTGGAGAGCCTGAACTGTCCTCATTGCTGCTCTTCCTAAATAGTGTATTTACGGAGTAATAATATAGAATAAATGCTTTCATCTTAGCTGCCTGTTTTCTTTGGTGCTCTAAGTAATTGAACTGGCTTGGGAAGTGCCTGTTGTGGTTTGGCAGAGATGAGTATGTCACGCCTTGTGATTCCAGGGGACAGCATTGCTGGGAGCCTGGTTAGACCAGACAGAGCCTTGGTGCCATTCTTGTGTTGTCAGCAACTCGAGGGGAAGGGGTGGCATCCATGTTGCTAATCTACTTGGCATAGGCAGTTTGAACAGGGTTTTATCAAATTCGTATTAAACAAGAATCGAGGCGAAAACTGATGACTGTTTGTTACTTGAAATGAGACTTAATCTTTCACATCTAGTTCTCAGGGTGTGCTGATTTCCTTTCGGTACAATGTGAACACCAGAATGACTTTTATTAACCTCTGACACCCCCACCCCAGGATTATTTCCACCCCATTTTAATGGAAGCTCTTCCATTCTAGCTTGAACAGCACTTTTCCATCATACGGTTTTTACTGGTAGAAACAAAATAATCCAGACGGTGCTCTTGATTCGAGATGTTGTCACCGTTCCTGTTTTGCCCAAAAGGAAATGGAGCGGTGCGTTTGAGCGAGTGGCCCCGAGCCCTCTAGAATGAGAGGGCGTTGAGAAGCCAGGTGTGTCTCGCTTGTGGCCAGCTGGCGCTCAGGTTTTCTCAAGGAGAGAGCAGCTTTGGCAATTTCACTTCAGTTCTCTATAACCCTTTGAGTAACCGTCCTTTCTTTATTTCAGCACAAACCCAGGGCCATCCAAAGCAGCCCAGCACTGAGAAAAATGAACTGTGCCCCAAGAACGTCCCAAAGAGAGAGTACAGCGTGAAAGAAATCCTGAAATTGGACTCCAACCCCTCCAAAGGAAAGGACTGCTACCGTTCCAACATTTCACCCTTCGCGTCAGAAAAGGAGGCAGACGACTTCCGAAGAAACGGGAGCCCGGAAATGCCCTTCTACCCTCGGGTTGTTTACCCCATCCGGGCCCCTCTGCCGGAGGACTTTTTGAAAGCCTATGGGCTGGAGAGGCCGACCTACATCACTCACTCCCCCATCCCGTCCTCCACGACCCCGAGCCCCTCGGCGAGAAGCAGCCCCGACCAAAGCCTCAAAAGCTGCAGCCCGCACAGCAGCCCGGGGAACACGATGTCGCCCCTGGCGCCCTGCCCTCCAGACCACCGGGACTCGTACGCCTACTTGAACGCCCCCTACGGCCCCGAAGGCTTGGGCTCCTACCCGGGCTACGCGCCGACCCCGCACCTGCCCCCGGCCTTCATCCCCTCCTACAACGCCCACTACCCCAAGTTCCTTCTGCCCCCCTACGGCGTGAATTGCAACGGCCTGGGCGCCGTGGGCAACATGGGCGGCGTGGGCAACTTGAGCCTCTTCCCCAGGCTGTACCCCGTCTACGGCAGCCTCCTGGGCGGCGGCGGCTTGCCGCACCCCCTGCTCAGCCCGGCCTCCCTGCCCAGCTCGCTGCCCTCGGACGGGGCCCGCAGGCCGCTGCAGCCCGACCACGCGCGCGAGGTGCTCGTCCCGGCGCCACACAGTGCCTTCTCCCTCCCCGGGGCGGCCGCCAGCATGAAGGACAGGGCGAGCAGCCCCACCAGCGGGTCGCCCACGGCCGGCACGGCCGCCTCGGCGGAGCACGTGGTGCAGCCCAAAGCTACCTCAGCGGCGCTGGCGGCCCCCGGCAGTGACGAAGCCATGAATCTCATTAAAAACAAAAGAAATATGACCGGCTACAAGACACTGCCCTACCCTCTGAAGAAGCAGAATGGCAAGATTAAGTACGAATGCAACGTTTGCGCCAAGACGTTCGGCCAGCTCTCAAATCTGAAGGTAGGCCTCCCGGCGGGCCCGCCCACCGCCGCGCTGTGCGCGTGCGCGCCTGCGTGTCGCTCGCTCTGCGCAGCTCACGAGGCGCTTTTGCGACAGTGTGAGGCTCGGGCGGGAGTAGTGGATTGGGGGTGGCGGGGTTCCTCTGCTTTTGCCATTTCTGGCTCTGTGACTTCGGACTCGTAACTTCTCTGCTGAGTTTCTTCAGAATAATGAAAGTGTGGGGTTTGGGCTAGAAGATCAGTTTAAAGTCCTGCAGGTCTGTGACTTCTGTTCCCTTGGCGCAGACGAAACGAAGCGTTCTGAAAATACTGGGGCTCCGTTTGTTCGGTTTAAGATTTAACTTGATGGTTTTCTTAAGATGTCCGCATCGTAAATGCCTGAGTCCTTGAGCAGAAATGTGAGGTCTCCCCACCGACCGAGAGCAGGGCTAACGCACGTGGCTTCTTTCCAGGTCCACCTCAGAGTGCACAGCGGAGAACGGCCTTTTAAATGCCAGACTTGCAACAAGGGCTTCACTCAGCTCGCCCACCTGCAGAAACACTACCTGGTACACACGGGAGAGAAGCCACATGAATGCCAGGTGGGCAGTGTTTTCCGGTAGAAATTTTAACCTTTGTAGAGAATGTCTCAGGGGCGGTCTCCCTGTGTCCTGTAGCCCATAGATTAAACCGACACAAGAATTCTGCCCGGTCGCGGGCTGGTAAGCCTGTATCTGCTGATGAGCAGAGATGATGACAGGGCCCGCTTCCAGTGGGTGGAAAAGGGCAGGGGGTAGTAAACACCTCCGCGCGCGCCGTGCCCACATTTGCCTGTTTGCTTAATGCCACACCAGAGGTCCACCGGGAGGCTTCTCGCCTCACAGGTTGCTGGGCGTCGGTATGTAAGCTTGCCCTTCCCACTGGCAACTCTTAATCTTCTGGTCTTCCCGCTTCCCGTCTCTGCCCGCTTCCCCACCTGTAGGTTTGCCACAAGCGATTTAGCAGCACCAGCAATCTCAAGACCCACCTGCGACTCCACTCTGGAGAGAAACCTTACCAGTGCAAGGTGTGCCCTGCCAAGTTCACCCAGTTTGTGCACCTGAAACTCCACAAGCGCCTACACACCCGGGAGCGGCCCCACAAGTGTGCCCATTGCCACAAGAGCTACATCCATCTCTGCAGCCTCAAGGTCCACCTGAAGGGGAACTGCCCCGTGGCCCCAGCCACGGGGATGCCTTTGGAGGATCTCACCTGGATCAACGAAGAAATCGAGAAGTTTGACATCAGCGACAACGCCGACCGGCTCGAGGACATGGAGGACAACATTGATGTGACCTCTGTGGTGGAGAAAGAAATTCTGGCTGTGGTCAGAAAAGAGAAGGAAGAAACTGGCCTGAAGGTGTCTTTGCATAGAAACATGGGGAATGGACTCCTCTCAGGGTGTAGCCTTTATGAGTCATCAGACCCATCCCTCATGAAGTTGGCTCACAGCAACCCACTACCTCTGGGGCCTGTAAAGGTCAAACAGGAAACAGTTGAACCAATGGATCCTTAAGATTTTCAGAAAACAAAAAGTGTTTTGTTTTGTTTCTTAACTTATGACTTGGCAAGTCAGGGTGCCTGTAGCAAATGCTTGTACATAATTCCAGTTCTGCAAAGCTCTCCTGACGGCAGATGGTTTCCCCTCACCTCTCTGGAATTAAAGAAGGAACTCCAAAGTTACTGAAATCTCAGGGCATAAATGAAGCAAAGACAATATATATACATATTATATATACTTATTTACACCCCCATCTATATATTTGAACCTGTGTATTTTGAATATTTGTGTGGATATGTTTGCATAGCCTTCCCATTGCTAAGACTATTGCCTAGCCATAATTATTTTTTCAATGATAATCCTTCATAATTTATTATACAATTTATTGTTCAAAAAGCAATAATTAAAAAAGTTTACAATGACTGGAAAAATTCCTTGTAATTTGAGTTATAAATGTTATATTTTTGTCTTGTGGCCATTCTTTGTAGATAATTTCTGCACATCTGTTTGAGTCCCTACGATTTAGTAAACAAATACATTACTTCAGTTGACCTCCCTCTACAATAATGGTTTGAAAATGAGGTTTGGTATTGCCAAAGTTAGACAGTTGATGTGTTAACTCATAAGATCTGTCATTTGAACAGCATTGTGTAACTTGGGGGGGAATGTGTGCAGAATTACCCAATAATAACTTCAGTAGAAGAAACAAGAAAGGGAATCTTGTGTTTGTGTAGATAGTTCAGATTCTTTTCCCCCTAGCCATGGATTTACCAGAAAGGAGACAAGAAGGCTTTGCCAACCTGTCTTCCTCTCCAAAGAGCAGGGTTACCCCACCCCCAAAGTCACATGACCATTCAGAGTGGTCACGTGACCTTTGCATCCCAATGTATTATCTGAAAATGTGAATAAGACAAAAATGCCATGTTTAAAACCACCGTGAAATGTTCCCAAAGCACAGGTGGTTTTGTATGTGTGAGGTTTGGGGGCTTGAGTCTGGGTGTTGTTTTTGTTATTGGGGGGTTTTTTTGTTGTTATGTCAAGATTGCACAGACATGGTGCTCTACCGGGAAGGATTTGAGGTAGATAGGCTCAGGCCACACTTTAAAAACAAAAAAACCAAAAAACGGGTATTCTTGTTGTCTTAGGGTAAAAGCAGGCAATGCACATTCCTATCCCCAACACATCAATTGTATTTTGTTCTGTAAAACTCAGATTTTCCTCAGTATTTGTGTTTTTACATTTTATGGTTAATTTAATTAAAGATGAAAGGGCATTGCAAAGCTGTTCAACAACAATTACCTCATTGAGTGTGTCCAGTAGTACAGGAAGTGATGTCTTATCTAATGATTTGCTACTCTAGAGGAGAAACCAAGTGCGCTCCAGAAAGACAGAATGTGTGCCGTTCTGTCTTTCACTCTGCTAAGCCCAAAGATTACATGTCAGCATTCAAGGTGTAGCAAAGAATGATGTATATTTATAAATCTATTTATACCACTATACCATGTGTATATATAATATATTTATAACCACTTAAATTGTGAGCCAAACCATGTAAAAGAACCTACTTTTCCTAAGGGCAAAAGAGAAAACCAATCCTTTCTGAGGCTTTGCTTAACACTTGATGGCCTCACTATCATCGACATTGGTGAGCTTGGGCACCTCCTTGCTATTAAAGGGACCCCAAAACCTTGGTGCAAAGATGGGGACTGCATAACAACCAGGGGGAGAGATACTCACCGTCTTTCACCAGTAAGGGCAGTCTAAGATGGCTTTATTTTTGTTTTGCCACATTATGATTATGTGGTCACACCCAAGTCACGGAAATAAAGTCCCATTATTCCCTTTACCACTGTTAACTTTTCTCTCTCTTCCTCTCCTTCCTTCCTTCCTCACTAACTGATGCATCACTAATCAGTCAGGTTTCTATATTCAGCCTTTTATTGATGGCAACTACTGTCAACCAGCAGCAAAGGACAAACTTAGGAGAATCCAGGGAAACCTCAGAGCCTTACTGATCTGTTCCTCTAAGTGGCAAAACTGACAATTTTTTATGGATCAGTGCTGAACCAACACAGTCCTTAATTGTAGGTAAACCAAAGCATCGCACGCTGACATTGACACCAAATACTTTCGGTTCTGCTCATTTGTTCTCTTCTTTTCCCTTTTGTGCTTTCTTATTTGTGGGAATTTTTACCAAGACACGCGTTGCTTGAGACTTCTTGATTCTCTTTACCATTTGACTTTCCCTCGTAGGCCTCTTACATGTGAATGCTGAGCCCACAATCAACAGTGGTTTTATTTTTTTCCTCTAATCAAAGTTAAAACTGACCAAAGTTATTGGCTTTTTACTTTGCTAGAACAACAAACTATCTTATGTTTACGTACTGGTTTACATTGTTATTTATGTGCAAATTGTCAAAATGTAAATTAAATATAAATGTTCATGCTTTACCAGTGCTTGTCTGATGTCTTCAGTGAAGGGCCAGTGAAGCGACATCTTCACCGTGCCGTTAGGGAACACTTTTGAACATGACAGTGTTTGCCTCTCTCCTGCCCCGCCCACCCTCCCCAGCAGCCATGCGCCCCTCATCCCCCACCTCCATCGGGGACCACATTTGTGAGTGATCTGAAGTGTTGATCTGTTTTCTCTCATAAGCGAACAGTTTAAGATTTTTCAATTATGAGCTATAGTGAGGAAAGCATTTCAAACATTAGTAATGAATTTTGATTGTCTGTTTTACTTTGTTGATGGGGATGGGATGGTGAGGAGGTAAGGAAGACTTGGATCCCTAGCCTTCCTAGCCTCATGACAGCGTGTACGTGTTTTGCGTGTGTGTGTGTGTGTGTGTGTGTGTGTGTGTAGACCCAACTGACTGGGTAAGGGGCCCAGAGGAAAACTGGGTTGAGGAACAACACTTTGCCCAGTGAGGACAACGTTTTTGCCTCAGTAGCTAGCACTGAGCATGCCACAGGGAATAAGTTCTTTTTGTGCCTCTGCCATAGTCTTCTTGCCCTACATCCCATGGTATTTTTTTCCCTTTACATCTTAGCTCAGAAAGTAGATCTGCCACTTGTTCATTTAAAATGAATTTCAAGACAGCTGTTGTTTTACCAGAATCTGGGCATTGTTAGGATGAAACCCAGAGACATGTTGGTATGGCCATGCAGTCCCAACTGTCATGTGGTGGGAAAGGGTCTATTTGTTTGTCCATGGAGGCTCCAGAAACTAACCTGTCTCCAGGCACAGGAGTCTCATTTGGTAGATAGGAGATGCTTTTAGAAAACTTTAGTGTCCTCAGTGAAAAAATCCAAAAGTCCCTTGCAAATAGTGTTCATGCTTGCCATGTCATCTATTACCAAGTTCATGGTTCCATGTCCATGCTAGCCACATGTTAGGAATACTGCTCCTTCTTACATTTGGATACTCGAAACTGCCCGATGGTTTTTTTTTTTTCCATGTTTCTTCTTTATATTCACTTAAACATCTGTGCCAAGAATTTGAAATGCTGCCAACATGTAACTGTGGAGTTAAGAAAACCAGAACCCTATTGTCATAAACGTGCCAAATGGTGCTGGTTTCACTACTAAATTCTATAGAACCATTGTGGTAATAATTTTTCAAAACAAAGCCCAATAAGATTCAAAGTGTAACAGTTACTACCATAAATCATAGTTCTTTACTTGGCAAAGCATGCCTTTTTTTTTCTTGAGAGTTATGTATCTTGGGAACTCTTGTGGACTTAGCTGTTTAATGAAACATTACATGAAAAGATAATATTCACTAGGAGCTCAAGTCCACCCAGCTGACATCCACACAGTTGGATCAAGGCTTCATGCAGCTGTTTTCAGGGCAAGGCAAGACTGAAGAAGTCATCTTTTTCTGAGTCTTAACCTTAAAATAAAAGCTCTGTTCTGAAATAATACATTCAATTCCCCACCATAAGGGAATATACAGAATGTATGGTGCTATGGGAGTTTATGGGCACATTTCTAGATTATTTCTTCCCTTGGGGGACAGCAAATCCATTTAGGACCTGTAAGTTTGTATAAGTGAGCTCATTCCTCTGTGTGTGTGTGTGTGTGTGAAGCCTTCTCTAAAAGGAGATAATGAGCAAAGGCCAGAGCAGAGAAATGAAAGTAATTAGAGGCACATGGTGGAGGATTTCTGATGTAGAACCAGGCCTCAAGGATAATCTGGTCTAGAAAGGAATGGTGTACCACAGAGCGTGGCAGCTTAAAAAAAAAAAATGAATGAACAGGAGAGAAGTTACATAGAACGTGATCCTTGAACCGATCCGGAAGACACTTCCACTTCCTTCAGAAGACCATGACAACTTTGTCCATAACGTGTCCATTTCATTATCAACTTCGGGCCAGAAGAAATCAGATCATTCTGAGCACTGGCCACCTCTCTGGAGTCCACTTCTGGGTGTGCAGCAGCTGCAAGAAACGTTTCAGGACTCACAGATAATTCTCCCATCACTTCCTTTTCCAAACTTCAAGTCCTCAGAGCCCCCCGGTCCATTTGCTCAAAGCGCTGCTGACAGCGACTCCTTAAATGAGAAGCGATTTTAATCTCAATACAGCCTTAATTATGTAATTTAGGCATGTAGGCAGAAAAAAACCACAGCAAGATTCCAGAAAGTTATTTTTAACCTGATTTATGCAAATATTCTCCATGCCCAGTTTCACAAAATACCGTAAACTAACAAGCCCTCTCCCAGTTTGCTCTCCCTTCCAGGTTTGACAAGTAATGAACCGGAGTCATCCACATGTACGTTTCCCTCTCTCCAAATTTAAATAGAAGCTTTTATTTAGTATAAATGTGAATGTAGTCACCTTGTAGTTTTCTCCTGCCCCCATTAAGAAAGTGGACACAACAGGTAAGTGCCAATGGTTAATTTTCTTTTTTTCTTTTCTTTTTTTTTTTTTTTTGAGACAGAGAGAGAGAGAGAACACAAGAGGTGGTAGGGTGAGAGGGAGAAGCAGACTCTCTGCCGAGCAGGGAGCCCAATGCGGGACTCGATCCCAGGACTCTGGGACCATGACCTGAGCCGAAGGCAGTCGCTTAACCAACTGAGCCACCCAGGCGCCCCAGTGGTTAATTTTCATAAGAAATTCTTCAGCGTATTAATGAAAGGTGGTTGTTTTCATGGAATTGTGGCAAACCTTCCCATCTTGAGGTATGTGAAGAACTCACCTGTGGATGAAAGCAACCAGCAGTTCTCCATTGCAGGTGAGGAGCAGAGCAAAGGAAATCTATTAAACCACAGCAGAGGGGACTTGGGTTTAAATCACAGAGACTAACGCTTTCCATTAGGGTTGGTATCACAAAGCTTCCTTTCCATGGGAGGGAGGGAGTAGAATCTCCTTCCTGGGAGGACTCAGAAGTCAGCTTGTTTGGAAGTGCAGGATGTGCAAGTTGCTCTCGCAAGCCCTTCCTAGCTCTATAATTCAAAGATTTCTATTGACCTTAGAAATGATTGAACGACTGGGGACAAGATGGATACAAGGTTTTGGTAGAAAACTTGAGTTGCCTTAACGTCCTTGAGGCCTCCTAGGAAACTGTATACACACACACACACACACACATATGTTACTATACATATATAACTATATAGAGATCTATAGAAGGCAGATCTGAAGAGCTTGTCTAATCCGGAGAATGAGTCCATGATACCGTGAAAGGAAAAGTGCTGTCTATTTTGTAAAATACTTAAAAATACATTCCACAGTTGAGTTCTTCTCAGGGATTCTAAAAGGGGAGGGAGAATGAGAAGCAGTCCCACTGTCATCTGGCACCTGGCACTCTGCAAAGCAACCTCCAGGCCAGCAGCCCTGCAGTGCAGTGACTCCTTGGGAAGAGCAGGGACCAGCCTCTCCCCACTCCTCCCATCAGCACAGTTCGGCTTCCCTTGAGTACTATTTTTCACCCAGGCAGGAAAAGGAGGGTGGGCACACCCTTCCCCCCCTTCCATGTAACCCCTTCTTGCCCCCCAGGTTAGTACAAATAACCTGGTAGTGACTTGCTGTGAGACCAACCAACAAAGAATCATTAGTGGGATGATTTAACTCCTCCTTCCATGGTTCCCCAGGCCAGAATTTAAAAACAGACCCGCACTGAGATTGTGAGCGCCCACTCTGGTGGACAGAACTGGGGCCGGAGACACTGAGTTCTGGCCCAGGGTCAGCCCCTGGTTGACTGTATGCTCTCAACAGACTCCTGACTTCCCTGGGCCTCAGTTTAGGGACCCACAAAATGAAGGAGTCGGTCCCGGGGCATCTTGCCCCTCTTTCGGAAATATTATATCTCCTTGTATGCTAAGATTCCATCGTTTTCTCTTATTTCCTTTTGGTTTGTTTTCCTTGGAACTCTGATTGTTGCTATAGGCAGATATTTGTAATTTAGAGAGCAGATGTCCTAGGAAATGGAAATGAGGGGCAGGCTTGTATGGAAACCACTATTGTGGCTTCTTTTGGCAAAAAGATTGGGCTCACAAAGGTCCTGCTAATTTGTGAGAACCGTGAACTTTCCCCAGGAATTAATATGCTCATCTGAAAGGAATCAAGATTCTTTTAATGGAAATAATGGGTTGTGCTTAGAGCAAACCTCTGCTAGAGTAAAGTATCATGAATTCTAGGATGTTTAGTTTAGTGGGGTTTTGTTTTTTTGTTTTCATCCTTTTTTTTTTTTTAAACCAAAGGCATACGTGTTCTAAGACTGGGAAAGATTTAAATTTGTTGCCATGAGAAGGCAAGAGGGACAAAAACACTGGTAGCTAAAAAAGAGAATAAGAACCCAATAAAGAGAACCCAGGAAGACGTTGAAAAGGAAACCTTTTGGTTAGCAGAGCCATGGAGGCCTCAAGACTGTTATAACGGTTCAGGTTTAAAAAAGGGAATAAAGAAAAATGAAGCAGAGAGAAGGAGGAGGAGAGAGGGAAAGGTTACACCAAGACAGAAACCGTGAGTAGATAGATGTGAAAGGGGCTGAAAATAAGTGAAAAGTGAAAAATTGCTTTATGAATAAACCGTTAAAAACGAGTGAGTGAAAAAGCACTTGTGCTTCCAGTTATTACTGAATCACAAGCTCGTGGAAGGCAGCGGCTGACCTAAGCGGCGCCCGGGAGCTGAGCCCCGATGCAGCAGTTGGTGCAGGGCAGCTCCTGTGGGCGGACCCCGCTTTCTACTTGAGTGTCAGTTTCGTTGTGATTACCCTCCTCACAGGCGCCTGTGGGCCACCTCGCCGCCCTGAACCCAGAAAACGCGACGTGGTCATCTCCCCAACCTGCTGACGCTCCAGGGCAGGCGGTATCCTCCAGAGGACATCTAGGACACAGGCGAGCCGAGGGGGGGCAGGGGGGGCTGGGGAAGGGGAGCCCCTCTTCTGAGGGAAGGAGAAGCCAGGATGCTCGTGAGGCCCGAGGCCTCAGCCTGCTGCTGCCCTTTTC